GATGGTGCTGGACGAGGCGGACGCCCTGGTGGGCGACGACTCCTTCACGGCGCCGCTGGAGGAGATCCTGGCAGCCGCGCCCCTGGCCGCCGGCGCCCCCGGGCCGGCCGGCCCCGGGGAGGCGAGGACCCAGGTGGTGGTGGTCGGAGCCACCTTCCCCGCAGGGCTGAGCGAGACGCTGGGGAAGTTCACCGACGTGGGCCGGTTTGTCACCCTCGCCACCCAGCGCCTGCACCACCTGCCACCCCACGTCCAGCAGAAGTTTGTCCGCCTCAAAGGCCGGGACAAGCTGCCCGAACTGCTGCAGCTACTCAAGGAGCGCCCGGCGTCCGGTGGGGCTGTTCTCATCTTCTGCAACAGTGCCAGCACTGTCAACTGGCTGGGCTATATCCTAGATGACCACAAAATCAAGCACCTGAGGTTGCAGGGACAGATGTCAGCAGCTGCTAGAGCTGGCATCTTTGCCTCCTTCCAGAAGGGTGATGTGTCTGTCCTTGTCTGCACTGACCTTGCCTCGCGGGGGCTGGACACCAGCAGCGTGCAGCTAGTGGTCAACTATGACTTCCCAGACAACCTGCAGGACTACCTGCACCGCGTGGGGCGAGTTGGACGGGTTGGAAGCAAGGCGCCTGGAGCCGTGGTTAGTTTTGTCACCCATCGGTGGGATGTGGACCTGGTGCGGAAAATAGAGACTGCAGCCCGGAAAAGGGCAGGTCTCCCAGGCATGGACTCCTCCATTAATAAGCCTCCACCTAAAGGAGGTTGATTCAGGTTGCCAAGCAGTAATAAACGGCCTGGCAGGGACTAAGCTTGAAGTCATTAAGGCAGAGCGAATGAACTGCTGTGTGTAAGCTAGACTGCAAGAACAGAGAATTGAGTTTCAGAGCCAAGTGGCCAGGTTAATTTTGTGCACTGTTGTGGAAGCTGCAGTAGTCATTTCCATAAGCATTGCAACTCATGGCTTTCCAAAAGGAAGCTAGTAAGTGACGAAGAAAATGCCTTTGGAGAACACTGAAGAATGATCTCATCAGTTGATTTTGTTTAATTTTGTCGAGACTTTAAACTTAAATTCAAATCAAAATGAAAGCATGCCTGTATGAAGTGCAGCTCTGTTGCATTTCATTGCTTCCCACCACCAGCAACTAAACATTCATTAATAAAACTTAAAAATTACTACTGTGGCAGGAAAAAAAAAAAGAAAATATTTTCCTTTGATATAATTTTGACCAGTTATAGATACATGTAGAAAGACTAAAGGACAAATTATATTTGATTTTCTTGTGATGTAGCAGTTCATTCAGAGAATTCTGGACCAGATACCTCTAAAGTTTGGCGGGAACGAGAAGGCCTAATAAAGCTTGAGGCTTTTTCAAGGTCTTAATTTGTCATGGTTATCTTTCACTGAGAAAAGGTGCTTCATGTTCTATTAAATAAAAAAAAAAAAGCCTTTAAGTGTTTTCTGCTCATTTTTTCTGTATGCTGTAGTGATGTCCAGTCTCTGAACTGATTGTAAAAAAAGAAAAAAAAAAAAACCAACCCAATCCACCAAAAAATGTCTCCTGTTAAAGGGAAGAAGTGTGTTGACTCAGAGGTTCTAATGGCTCACAGGTAACAAACAGAGTGAGTACAAAATTTCTTTTGAATATTGTGCCATTGTTCTTTTCTGCTTTAAACCAAAAGGATGAAGGTGAGGCTGAGGTTATTTCACATCTATTTCATAACTAGCAGCTAGTTTGTATCCATGGTAAATAATGAATCACATAAAAATAGCATTTTAGCTCTGATTTCTGTTGCAGTGATTTATCACAGCCTTTTCTTTTAGTGGTTGTTTTTCCCATGCTATCCACTTTAGCCTGTGCTGAAACTCAGTATGTAGAAATAGTAAGCTGTTAAATGAAACGATCACAGCATAGTATCTAAATCATTGGTTTCAGAGGAAATAAGGCACTGGAGCTACTCTTAGTATACCGAGAGTAAAATCTAAACAAACAGAAAGCTTGCACAGATAATCACTTAAGGATAAGGCTGTATAACCTGATACTAGAAATTGTACACATGCGCTCTGTTCACATTGCACAGTTAAGGGGCTCTTAGGGGAAGTTACAAGCTGTGGTAAAATTATTTCATACAATAGAAAGCTTTCGACTTATAGAAATACAGTGAAAGAGTGATTCACTCAGAGACTGGAAGCCGTTATATTTGGACCTATTAATTGCATGGACTACTTCCCTCTCATCTGTAGTTCATGTAACTGCAAATCAGGCAACTAATGTGTCCACAAGCAGAAGCTTACTGTTCAAGTATAGGAGTAGGGTAAATCCTTAAACAGAAATCTGGGGACAATCTAGTATTATAATTTACATAAGATCCTATTTCCTTTTGTTAATATGCATCTTAAGTTGTATCAGGTCCTCTGAACTGCTGAGAAACAGCTTCCTTTAACTGTAGACACACAGATTAATTTAAATAAGGTAAATTGTATTCGAGAGACTCCAACTAAGAATTTTTAATATTTGCTTGCCTGCTTTGCCTAAGCATTTTCAGGCTGACTCCATCTCAAGCGTCATATAATTTGAATCTGATTTTTTTCAAAGCTGTAGCGCTTCACTGTATTATCATAAATATGAACTTACTACCCGCTTCATAGAATGCCTGTCTTTCCTGAGGCAGCTGGTAATGGTGACCGTGCTTCCCAGTTCAACATACACAGTTGCCCTTTTAAGTTTCTGAGGAAAATTGTTGCTTGGGATCTCAGATGTCTGTCTTCAAGTATTTGTCTTATCTTACAGCTGGTATACAGGATGAAATCAATCAGTTGTTGGGGCTAAAATTTTGGAACTGTTGCAGATGTTGTGTACTGTAATACTTTGCTCTATTGCCTACAATTTCCAGCTAAGTAATGCCACGAAAGTTAATCACAGTTAAATTATGTCACATAAACCATAACTTCTGACACAAGATCCACGGTCGAACTATGTGGCAATGGTCACTCATAATGAATGGATCTGCTTAATTTGTGTCAGTAACTAAGTGGCATTGGTGATAAGAGAGTAGGTTTTTTCTTGAGTTAAAATATGTGGAAGGAAAATGGGAGGAAGGGTGACTTCTGATAAATTATCCAGATTATAAAAGGCACTGTGGACATACTTGACACTGAGGTACAAAATAGACATGTTAAAAATGAATGATTGGTGTATTACACATTACAGAAATTAATTGTATGTGTTCTGATGGCCATAACAAAAGATTTTGAAGATGTTCTACAAGGTTATATTTGGATGTTTTTGTTATGTTTTTTAGATGTATAATTTATAGTTTAATTTCTGTAACTCACTTTTAAAAACTCAGTAACGTAGTCTATGAATCTGGAATAGTGCTACAGTGAATCCCATGACAGGTCAGTCTGGATTGCAGCACACAATATTATCAAATTGGACAACACAGTGAAATAATAAAGTTCTTTTAGCCACATGCTTCTTAATTTTGAAGTAATATACACTTTATATATTTACAAACAGTAAACCTTGAACTTGGTACAAATGCTCTAAACTGATTGTTGCTAGGGTAGTGTTGATCAAAACAGTTTATCAAAAAAAACCCAACCCAAAACCTTTTGACATTTACACGCTAAAATGGCCAATAAAAAGCTTTGGGTAGGTATACTCAGAGAGCACTATATTTACCAATAAAGCCTTTTGTAAACATTACTTTCAAACAAAACCACAGTTCTTTTAAGCGTATATTGAGAAATACCACTTTCCTACCGGTGCTCACAAAGAGACAGTTACTGGAGCCAGTGATTAACAGCAGTAATTACATTCAGGAGCATACAGACATTCAAACCCTGGGATATATAAGCTGATAAAGAGCCACCAAATGCAGACATCCACATCACTGACACGTCATGTGAAAGGTTTTACTACCCAATAGGTAAATACTATAGCAAAGCCTTCAAGGAGATGACCCTATCACAGCTAGCGAGCTAAAAATATATGTAGCTCGCATGTGGTCAAACTTGTTTAAGAAACAAAGACATATTCCAAGACTTTTTAGTTTGACTTTTCCCAAACTGCTTTTCAGTGCTCTCTAAATGTCACATCACTCATTGTTCACATCCTAATGACTGTCTGCCTACATAATTAACTGCTCTTTTCTTGTCTGTCCATATTCTACCTTCTGTGTAACTCTTACTTCAGACTTTATGGGCATAACTACAACTGCATAAGAGTTCTATCTTATGGGCACTACAAGGACATTTAGGTACTTGGGTTGCACATAGCCTAGTGCCTAGCAAGGTACCCTAGGACAAGCTGTGTCAAGTGTCCTAACAGCCAGATGAAAAAATACCTCCTACCACTTCAGTAATCTGACAAAGTCCACATTTTTGCAGACTGCACTGCTCCCTGAAAAGCACTTGTATACCTGTTCTCTCCAGACAACACCCTTTCCCCTCCTCTTCTTCCTGAAATGTGTTTGTGAGCCCCATTTACACATTAGTGGTCGAGTGTGTGGTAGAGAAGTTCTCCATGCGTATTCTGACCAGTTTCTCAGTGGGAACCGGACGCAGGAAGAACTTGCAGGTGAAGACTTGCCGGCAGGCCTTGCGGAAGTTTTCCGAGAGGAAAGCGTAAATGATGGGGTTGATGCAAGAGTTCCCATAGGCTAAGCAGTGAGAGATGATGCGGAAGGTGAAGGAGATGTTGTTCAGGGGAAACTGCCCAAACTCTGCCCACATCGTGATGATATGGTGCGGCAGCCAGGAGAGCAGGAACACGGCGACCACAAGAAGCACCGTCTGTGCTGTCTGGAAAAGACAAGATCATGTATTAAATGGTTGCAGTGGTCAAGCGAGTCAGTGGTACGAGTGAGTTTGCCTCCCTCTGTCAGTAGTGATGGCAGCATAACACAGGCAACACTGATGACTGCCAGGTGGGCAAATTATGACAATATGAAAAAGGATGCTAAAAAACCCTCCTCCCTGGAAAACAAGGATTGCCTGGTTTTGGGTCAAGCAAATAACTCTATAGGGAATGGAGACAGTGCCTGTAAAAGCTCAAACAATACAGAGGCTGCAAAGTAATGCTATGTTACATGGAAGAGTGGAAATAATATTCCCTAACGTTTGGAGGCTGAGGAACATTAAAGCTATTGAAAATAACTGCAGGGGAAAACAGTCTGCAAGGAAACATGACACTGAAAGGAGTAACAAAGAATGATCTGAGGAGAAAGATTTTTCTAGTAGCTTCCCTCTTACAGGAGAAACCAAGAAAAACAATGCATAGAGGATTATTTTTTTTAAATACACAGTGCTCTTTGGTTAGAAATATTCCTAGCTAGGTGATTACCTGAGGGAGGCCCACTGTGCCTGTGGGATCCCAGCCTGTGTGCTGGCTGGGTTAGAGGTGTGCCCCTGCAATGCTTGCTCTCCAGTTAGGCTGGACAGCCACCATCACAAGCTGTGGTTTGCAAACCCCAAAGCTTGACCTGAGGTAAAATTTTCCTGAAAACAGCCGCCTTTGAAGTTATCATCCAAAATGAAGGTTAATATGAGCTACTGACAGCAGCTGTGAGCTACTGACAGCAGCTGTGGTAGTCCCACAGCTGCGGCTGGGGAAGAGGAACAAGGGCTGAGGTGGTGTCTTGAGGGGGCTGAGGAACATGGTGGAGCAGGATGGGGGGGTGGCTGTGTGCTGCCAGGGTGGGAGGGGTGCAGGGAGAGATAGCCTTGACCAAAGGTAGGTGGTATGAGCTGTTTGTGCTGTTTCA